TGTATTTTGTTTCTAAATAAAAATCAAAGTTGGATGTATGTACGTATATATGTCTATTTCCTTTTTATGAGCTATGTAAATCATTTATCTGATGGTGACAAAACCTACTACAGTTATTGTTCGCATTGCAGGGAAGGTTTTTCTTATAACAATTTAATTAAACATTTAATATTTTATTGGAGTTTTATTTCGTTTTCCTATTTTAATTATGTTAGTCTTAAATTTTTGGTCTGCACTGTATACGATAATTGGCAAAATATATGCTTTTCACATAATTAGCGATGATTGCAGCGGAACGGGACCATTTATCATCGATTTTATGATATGTATCATTTTTAAATAATTATCAAAATTTTGAGAAACCGTTTTAAAATACATATGAAGTGAATTTGAAAATGGAGGTACTGGTAACGTATTGTTGTGTGTAATTCCGGCACAAGAGATGACGTATGATAGGCCTAAATGGAGAAGAACATGTAACGCCAACTCCACATAGGCAAAAATTCAAAAAATTCAAAATCATTTATTTTAACTTAGATGTCAATTTCAGACCGGTTCCAAAAAAAGCCACTATCCTGAGAAGAACCGGCGAAACAAACTCAGCGGGCTTTTATTTTTGTTTTTTCTCAAATATTTACTTTTTTTTTTAATAAATAAAAATATTTACAATAAAGGAAAAAGCAAGTCAAAAAATACAATTAAAAATAATAATAATAATAATGAAAAATGAAAAGGTTAGGAGCGAACGCCTCATTCCCACGTAGTGCCATCTAGTAAATAATCCTTAACTTTATAATATGCCTTGTTGCACAACCGTTCCTTGACAGTTTTCTTAAATCTATGAACAGGTAGTAATTGAAGGTTTAGTGGGATCTTGTTGAAAAGTTGTACACCCAGCCCCCTAAAAGAGTTGCTTATTTTCTTAATTCGAGCCGCCGGCAACGCAATATATAGTTATATAGGCATATAGGCATAGGGCAAGAAGGAGAAGAGTTTTAATGTAGGTTTCGACATTCACTTTATGATTTCTATTTCTATTTCAGTAACTACTCAATATTGGTTTAGCCCTATTTCTCAGCTCTAACAACAAAAACTCACCAAGCGTTTTGGCTCGTACGTACCTACTTTAAGCGCTCATTTCCCCTCTACAATATCCAAAACACTTCATTTTATTGCCCATTTCACATCGTAAGCCATAAAACGAACATCATTGCTAACAACCCTATCTTTACACGTTTACAACATGAATTTTACTACTGACGACATGACGAAATTTTAAATACAGGCTTCAAGAGTTGGGACGTGCTAAGAGCTTATTGTTTATTTGAATGAGTCAGATTATTAGTACCTATTTCAGAGGTGAATCATTCGTTCGTTGGGCTAATTCAATTACAATACTAATGCGACTTTATTCTCGTGTTCTAAAGCGGACGGTGACTTTGCGATGTCCATGACCTTCAGCATCTGTCTACAAATTATACATATATATTGTTTTTTATTGCTTTGATGGTTGGACGAGCTCACAGCCCACCTGGTGTTAAGTGGTTACTCGAGCCCATAGACATCTACAACGTAAATGCGCCATCCACCTTGATATATAAGCTTTAAGGTCTAAAGTATAGTTACAACGGCTGCCCCGCCCTTCAAACCGAAACGAATTACTGCTTCACGGCAGAAATAGGTAAGGTGGTGGTACCGACCCGCGCGGACTCACACGAGGTCCTATCACCAGTAATTACGTAAATTATAATTTTGCGGGTTTCATTTTTGTTACACGATGTTATTCCTTCACCGTGGAAGTCAGTCGTGAACATTTGTTGAGTACGTATTCCATACGCGCATATTTGCAAGATTAACACGTTCGCTGCGGCAAGTAAAATCTTAAACCTTTGTCTGGTGCGGCGGCGGGCCAAATTATGCCCCCAATGATTTTTCCGCCAGTGCGTGGTAGGTCTTTTTCGACACGTCAGCACAAGGTTAGATTAAATTGCTATAACTTTGCGAAAACATAATGTAGGTGAACAGTTTTTGGACTGTTGGAAAAACCTTGAACCCAACTTCTTTAGATTTGATTCGCCCCGGGATCTGCCGAACAGAAAATGAGAAATAAACCAGGGAAAGTGGCGGGTCGATATCGACCAGAACCGCACTAGAAAGTATTTTTAGTAGTGATGGGAAAGACAAAAATAAGGGGATATCGAAAATAAAACAGAATTAAAGTAAAGAAATAAAAATTGTTTATTTAATTATTTATTAATGGCTGTCTTTAAAACATTTCGCACAAAGATTTTGCTTGCACATTCTGCAGTATGTTTTAATTTTTTTTACTTTCCTTTTCACCTCGGAACTCTTCATGGTTTCCCGCAGTTTTTCATTTTCTTGAAGGAAAATATCTTCTGACTGCTGTCACTATCACTATCTGCACCGCAAATTAATTTATTTTCCAAAATATTTATCTTTCTTTTGTTGCCTGACATCGTGCCTTTAATTTTAAGGAATAAAAAAAACGTGACGTACGTCAGTTCCGATAGCTTGCCCAACACTAACTGGCGAGGCGGGCGCTCTGTGCGGTATCGGGCCGCCAACAGCCTGTTGGGACGGCGGGCCACAATAGGCCTCCTCCCGCACCGAGTTGATATTTTTTACCGTCAGTGCGTGATAGGCCGATAAAGGCCTGCCGTGATGTTTTTATAGGGAACACCTATACTTTCGACCACAATCTCAAATATATATTTGTCTTTGTCGTACCTTTACAAACACCTGAGATAATCGTTCCGCACCAGCGGGAGGGACATAGTTTTCTTCGTCCGCACCAGGTGAAATTCCGCGGCAGGCTGATTTGGGCCTGTTCCGCAGTGAACGTGTTAACATAAACACTAAATTAGTTACGCACGGTATGTTGCTATAATTGGAACTCTTATATTTTCTACCACGAAATGGTAATGTGTTCATGTGTGCTTAGTGCGAGTTTTTTAACGTACTCGATAGCATAAAACCTAATTAAAATTTGTATGGAGTTGGAACATTTGCCTACGTTTGCCGCTAGAGGCGCTGATTCAAACGCATACAAATTTGACTTAACTTTTACGCTATCGAGAGCGTTAAAAAACTCGCACTAAGCACACTGTTTGAAGAATGCGACTGCCGTTGTATGTGTGTGCTCTATGGTATCTATGCGCTTCAGTAACTACTCAACATACGTGAACCCGCTCACACATTTATACTATACAAAATATTGTACAAATTTATCTATATATTAATACGTGAAGCAAAAACTTTGTATCCCTTTTTACGAAAATTGCGCGGACGGAGGAGTATGAAATTTTCCACACTTATAGAGAATATAGAGAAGAAGTGCACAATGCTAATATTTTTTTTAAAATAATGCATGAAAGATACCTTAAATCAATAAAGAAAACATTACACACACTACATACCATGTATTAGACGCACACACGCATGCATACTATTTATTGTCAAACTTTTGTTCTTGACGTCTGTTGTCAAATTGAGAATAGATTAAATATTGTTTATCTTTATTAACATTTTTGTATAGTGTAGCCTTGGCGAAATTTGTGATTATAGAAGTATAAAATACAATCGTAATAGCGTACAAACTTACAATTCCAATTAATTATAGTCGAATTTCGACTACTGCGGGACTTCTAGTATTAATAATTTATTTAAAATTATTTATTGATTCTCAGGCAAAATACCGGTATTGCTATGTATCGTTGTAACGGGTAATTTGTTTGTGAAGTATTAAACATTTTTCGAGGGTAATAAACGATAGCTTTATTTCTTTTATTTTTTTATTTTTATTGCTCAAACTGGTGGAATAAAGGTAATGGTTCATGTAATAAAAAGTAAGCCCGAAAGTCAACTTATAAAATGTTTATCACTTATATTCTTGGTTGTTTTCTGTCTATGATAGCGTGAAATCTGACTACATGGGTCGCCTCTTTTCCATAAATAACACTTTTTCCTTTACCTTTTCCATAGATAATACTTTTTAGCACTTTTTTTCGAATATCACATTAATTGGTGTCATATCTAAATACTTTAACCGTCTGAATTAGCGTTATGTAAAATTGGCTTAGAATTCAAACAGCAGTTAAGGGTAAGCATGATCGTGCGTTTTGACTTGAATCAATAAGTGTATTGAATGATAAATACATACAACTCAAAATTGTTGATGACAACGCATATGGCATATTTTTGATAAAACTTTTTTGTTTCATATCAAATTACGATACTTTTCGGTCTACGCGACTCGTAAATTGAACATAATATATATAAGTATATATAGGTATAAAAATGAATTGCTGTTCGTTAGTCTCGCTAAAACTCGAGTACGGCTGGACCGATTTGGCTAATTTTGGTCTTGAATTATTTGTGGAAGTCCAGGGAAGGTTTAAAAGGTAGATAAATATGAAAAAGTTCGGAATAAAATAAAAATAACAATTTTGTTTTTCCTTTGATGTGTCCCCCGTCGGACGGATTCCTTTCGTTTGTTTTAAGTTTATTTTATACAAAAGTTTAGGTATTTTATTTATCGGTTGAGGCACTACGAAGTATGCCGGGTCAGCTAGTTAATATTAATTTTACATTGACATTATATTATTTCTCCGCCGCGACACATGCCCGGCGGGGCGACGACTCAGTTGAACGCCTTGTGGTGCAGGGCATGATAGAAGGTACAAGACCGCGCGGCAGATCATCGTAAGATGGACCGACTAAATAAAGGCAGCTCTAAACTGGTGTCTGTTGAAGCGCACCACCACCCGAAGTGATGACCACGACCGCTCTGCCAAGAGTGCATGCGACTGAGAAGAAACGTTATTCCCGACTTTACGAATATTTTACGACAGATAATCGTCCGTGACCACTGAAACTCTAAAAGCACTTATAATTACATCACATCACGTACTGTTTTGCATTAAACATTAATACGAATGTTAACATTACTATATCACTTAAAGATACAATTAGGTACGTACTCAAGATGCTCTTTGTAGATATCGAAGTCCGTGAAGATGAGTTCCACGATTTCGTGTGGTGCAGCGATGAACGTGTAGAGTACGCAGGAGAGGTGCGGCGGATACGGACGCGGGTAGTCGGGGCTGCTGAATGTTCCGCGCTCTTTGCCGTATGTTGAAGTGAAGCGGATGCACTCGCAACCTGAACACAAAGAAGATATTGAAGATTACACAAGTAAAGGATAAGCAAAAACATGTTACCTGACAAGAATGACTTTTGAATAATGTGGTATGGACATGTGATGCATAGAGAGAAGATGCATGTGACTAGGAGATGTATGGAAATGGTAGTGCAAGGTAGACGGGGAAGAGGTCGACCGAACAGGACATGGATGGAGTGTGTGAATAACGAGATGAAAGAGAGAGGAGTGAGTGTTGAGATGACGGCTGATAGAAAAGAAAAATTAGCTGTGCCGACCCCACCTAGTGGGATAAAGTGGAGAAAAAGAAGAAGAATGACTTTTGAATAATAACGACACGAACAATTTATTAATAGGATATTAAATTGAACCCTCCGTGGTTGGACGTACCGGCTATTTTTGCTCTGGATGTTGATATTATATTAAATATTACGATCTTTACTGTTTTTATACTCTTGTGTTTTGTATATTTGCTAAAAAAGATATTATTCTATAAATTTATTTTGCACGTGTGGATGGGATGCTATTGAATTCAGCTTAAAAAGATGATCCATTTTTTTATTACTATCGGTAGCTCCCGTCTGAGGAGAAGTTGTGTTATATCTCCGGAGGGTAGGAAGATGAAGGAAGGAGCTATAGATTAAATAGAACAATATATAAAATCATCACTTGCGCGGTGATAGGTTGATTTGTGAGCTCGCACGGATTCTACACTCTCACGAAATTTAATAAGTTCATGTCTGCAGGGCTTCGTGAACACAATTTTTGATTTTTATTTATTACATTAGTAATTCGCTATCAATAACCATAATACATTTTCTTTACAAAAAATATAAAACAGTATTTCAATAAGCAATAGTACTTTACTATTATTTATTATGAATTAAACATAATTTAAAGGTTTATCTCAAGTAAATTTTGTAGTTGATTAAGCTAAGTCATAAACGCCTGGTAATACTCCAGAAAGAAACTTCATATCGCAGATCATCCACATTACAACGGAAGCCTTGTACATTGTCGCGAAACGTAATACAGGCACGAAACATCATTAACAACCTGGTGACAGAAAGGGAAAGATACATTCGCACGCTTGAAAACAAAAAGGGATAGATAACCAAATCAGGTATATGTAGTGGAAGTAATTTTATTGAAGCGTACAAAGGTGGTGTAAGGAAGAAATGTGAAGGGTTATGCTTGGCGTCCCCGTTTTGTTTCAGCCCAAAACTTATTTGCCGTTTGGTTGAGTTTTACGACACAGATCAGTTTACTTGAACGCTCCGTATTTAACTTGGCAAAGAAAACCGCGATAAATTGTTGAATGTTTGACGTCTAGACCCACGTTTATAAGAAGATTACGAGGCATCATCTCGAATTTATTGGAGGAGCGCGGCCTTTAATTATTAACCCAGAACTTAAAGAAGGTATATAAAAATGAAACTTTGTAGTACCTATATTTAACGACGTAAATAATGATGAAAGATAGATTGTTGAAAGAAATTTCAAAGTAACTGCACTATAAAAAATAATGCTAAGCACACTTTAGCAAGTATTTTAGCACAGCAAAAAATCAATAAGTAGATTAATAATGATGCTTAGGGATCTTGGACATAAGATCTCGTTAAATTAATAGCAGTAATTACCGTGCTATTGTAATCTTTACCTAGTTTCTACCTTTGGTTTTGGGAAGTAATTGTACAATCCGGTCTGAAGAATATATTTTATTCTAATACATCCAAAAATCCTACAAGATATATCTACTTATACATCCATAGAACTCGTCACAGAATCTAACCAAAAAAATACTTCGATGTTTATGTACTAATTAATATCCTTGGTTTCAGCTAACAATTGAACATCGGGAGAACGTAGTTTTTTAACCTATTTCAACAAAAAAGAAAGGAATAACTGGGCATTGAGTAATATTAGTACACATTGTTCAAACCTCAGACTTAATACAGAATTGATTGTAAAACACTCAGAAATACGTCAAAAACAAGCAGAAGAAAATAACAAAGCCGCAAATCACCTGACCACAAGCGCTTAATACAAACACAACTTCAATGAAATAAAATTCAATAATAAGAGGTGACGATGAAATAAAACACGCGATTTGGTAGTTTTCTTTCATGAGTGTTTCATGTTGAAATCGCTAACCGGCTTTTTGAGTTCTTCAAATTTCTCGCCGCGTCGAATGGAGACATTTCACACATTATTCCGAATGAAATCGGAGATAGAGATAGATGAATATGGTTTTAGTTGTGAAAGACCTATACAATAGTCCTTATATAATTGAAAATGAGACTTGGAATAAGAATTAAGTCTTGTAGCAAACCGACCGGTACGTCACTCTCGCGGCCGTATGCCCGCTCGCTATACATAGTTAGCATCTATGTCAATCTTTTCAACAGTGTATAATCTATGTTCCGGGGGCTTCCGTTTTGAGTGTGAATAGCGTGCGCCCGCGTCTAAATGTAATTATTGTTTAAAATTGAAAATTGTTTGTGATAAAGGAAGATTAAAATTCGAAATTCGATATTGGTGACTAACCCATAGTTTTAAATACCCCTGAGATCTACCCCTCACTATATCTGGCTNCCGCAGCTGGTGGTATGGTTGGTCTTGCGCCTGTCCCTCAGCCCAGTAGTAATGAGATGCTAGTCCAGGAGCGAGGGCGTCCTCCAGGACTAGAGGGGGAGTATGTAGCAAACCGACCGGTACGTCACTCTCGCGGCCGTATGCCCGCTCGCTATACATAGTTAGCATCTATGTCAATCTTTTCAACAGTGTATAATCTATGTTCCGGGGGCTTCCGTTTTGAGTGTGAATAGCGTGCGCCCGCGTCTAAATGTAATTATTGTTTAAAATTGAAAATTGTTTGTGATAAAGGAAGATTAAAATTCGAAATTCGATATTGGTGACTAACCCATAGTTTTAAATACCCCTGAGATCTACCCCTCACTATAGTCTCATTTTCAAGTCTCGTGTTATATCTTTGTGACGATAATTAGCTCCGATAACAATTTAACGCTCATCAAAAACAATAAAGTCTAATGAAAAAACAACATAAAAGGATTTTTTAGACATGAATATGTAATATCAAGATTTTTTTTTATTGCCTATATATAGGTATGTGAACGATCTCACAGCCCACCTGGTGTTAAGTGGTTACTGGAACCCATAGACATCTACAACGTAGACGCGCCTCCCACCTTGAGATACAAGTTCTAGTCTCAGTATAGTTACAACGGCTGCCCCACCCTTCAAACCGAAATGCATTACTGCTTCACGGCAGAAATAGGCAGGGCCGGTGGTACCTATCCGCGCGGACTCACGAGTGGTCCTACAACCAGTAATTACGCAAATTATAATTTTGCGGGTTTGATTTTTATTACACGATGTTATTCCTTCACCGTGGAAGTCAATCGTGAACATTTGTTGAATACGTATTTTATTACAAAAATTGGTACCCCCGCCTGGGATTCGAACATCGGTGCATCGTTATGCACCGGACGTCTTATCCTTTAGGCCACGACGACTTCAAAAAAGACTTTCAAAAATTTGACGATATTCGTATATTTGCAAATAATTTACATGAGCATCTCAATGAAATGAGTATCATAAACTCAGTCGAATATTAATAATATTCAACCGAACCCGTACAATTAATTTGTTGTGTACTTTGTCATAGCCCCAAAACATACCGCGACTTCAAGTTAAATTTAGTTCACTTTATGTATTACATAGCCAGAGCGATGATTCATATCTTAGCAAGTATTTGTTGACGAGGACACAAACTTGGCGAACTTTAATCGTTATATTGGCTGTAAGTTTTCCTTGGTACATGTATTTTGGGTATTATTTCCTGATTGATGAATTTACTTTACTGTTAATTTTGTATTTACTAGTAGTAGGAGCTCTTGTGAGTCCCTACGGGTAGGTACCACCGCCCTGCCTATTTCAAGCAATAAAAAAGAAATAAATAATAATACTGACAATTTGTAATCATTTTCAGTTGTTCCACGTATCTCTCAAGCTATTTAGGTAGTATTAATAAGAAAACTTGGTATCATCCTGCTATCGAAGTCCTGGCATTATAACAATCATTCCGGTACCAACCCCGGTCAATGATCCATGTTACAGTAATCAAGTCAAATTTTAAATAGTTATTCTGCATTGTTTAACGAAGGGAATGGATATAATAATCAAAATATACATGACTGTGGTGTCTAGAATGGCATTACTCATTTTTCATGAGTGCAATCAAAGGTCACTAAGGCATTCATTCACCAGAGCATCATCAACGCGCAATTACTCATGATAAGGCATATCGTGAGTCTAAATGTCAAGGTACCTCTCTTTTTTCTATTTATTTTTATTGCTTAGATGGAAGGACGAGCTAACAGCCCACCTGGTTTTAAGTGGTTACTGGAGCCCATAGATATCTACAACGTAAAAGCGCCACCCACCTTGAGATATAAGTTCTGAGGTCTCAAGTATAGTTACAACGGCTGCCCCACCCGTCAAACCGAAACGCATTACTGCTTCACGGTAGAAATAGGCAGGGTGGTGGTATTTCTACCGCAAACATTGTGCTTTTCATGGACTTGGTATAATTTTACAATGGGTAAGCTACGTATGAGTTCCTTCACTAGTCATTTCAGTTTTACGAATAAACTATTCGGTAATTGTATTTTATCATTTTCTTTCTTTACTTTGGAAGATATTTACCGTTTACTTTAGAAGCAAACTGTGTGAAGAAAACCTTATAATATTAATCCACGAATGAAAATTATTCAATAACTTAATTTATTCTTTATTATTGCATAAAACAGTATTTTCATCACGTAATAACGCTTTCATGAGTCTTTTTTATAAGTTGGAACGTCGATCATCTGTCAGCCGCTTCGCCGAGGAATCCCTATTTGCATATTTCAAGGAAACTGCGAGAGAACGAGTACTAAAAGGGAATTTATTTTACCTAAATCGGATCTTTGCTCTTTTAATACCTCCAGTTCGCAGGTCAGAGGAATGTTTTATTTTAACACTGACACCTTTTTTTTTTTTTCAAGGAAAATTATATCATTGCTTTTAGATCTCGGTTTGAAAATATTCACCCGGCTGGACAGGGTTAGGAGAATCTCTTTGATATTGAAGTACAACGACGACTTTGAATTTTTTATTTATTGAATAGTTGAGTGGACGAGCTCACAGCCCTCCTGGTGTTACTGAAGCCCATAGGCACCTACGACGTAAATGCCCCACCTATCTTGCGATATAAGTTCTAAGGTCTCAAGTAGAGTTACTTATATCTCAACTAGTTACTTATACCAAGTGTAACTTATATCTCATACCGCATACCTCGATAGGCGGAGGCGGTCATGTTATGTTCTTTATAAAACCCAATATCCGACTAACATTAGGTACGCTCTTAGATCATTTGCTCAGCAAAACATCTAATTGACTTATACATAGGCAGAGGCACGAAAGTCAAATTCTTGACCCGCATGAGTGATTTCGGATCCTCCCGATCCACTAATGGTGGTTTTAGGTACCCCAAGCACCGGTCATCGTTCTTATCGAACCCGTCGCTTTCGACGAAGGCCTCGGCGAGTAAATTAACCCACAGACACAGCCCACTGAGTTTCTCGCCGGATCATCTCAGTGGGTCGCGTTTCCGATCCAGTAGTAGATTCTGCGAGGCACGGCTCTTGCTAAGGCTCGTGCTAGCAACATCGTCAGGTTTGAGCCCCTACAAGTTAAGGTTACGCTTATATGGTCTCTTTAGAACATCATCTTGGGTAGGAAAAAAAAAAATTACGAAAGAAACTCGACAGCTATAACCACATTTTCTTTAGAGAAAATGCATTCTCCCAATTATCTTTAACTCGTATCTATTGCGTATAAAGTGCTTGCTGTCAGACTCCATAGATGTGATCATATGTGCAGATTCCTAGAGCCCCAAAAGATTTTAGTTAAATTTGTTTCACTTACTTGGATTTATGGCGTGTCCTTCGTCAACCGTGTGGAGGGATAAGTGAAACACCAGGATTAAGGTCGTCGACGTCTGAAAACAAGGAAATTATTAAAATTAATTTACAAAGGACCCAACCATGAGAGTGGATTTGAATTGTGATCCCGAAATTAAATCCTTGCAATTTGTTGTAGCATTCAGGGACAATTGTTTTCCTTTAAATAAAATTTAAGCACATTTGTAACTTGCCTATTATTGTACAGTTATGGCCACACTCATTTCTCTGCTCAGATAAAGTACAAAAAAAACATTCAAGGAAATTAGTCCAGTTTGACTTAGAATAAATCCATGTGGGTTACAATAACTAGGGGACTTAACAACAGGTGGGCTGTGAGCTCTTCCACCCATCTAAATATTGCTTAGATGTAGGACGAGCTCACAGCTCACCTGGTATTAGTGGTTACTAGAGCCCATAGACATCTACAACGTAAATGCGCCACCCACCTTGAGATATCAATTCTAACGTCGCAAGTATAGTTACAACGGCTGCCTCACACTTTAAACCGAAACGCATTACTGCTTCACGGCAGAAATAGGCGAGGTGGTGGTACCTACCCGTGCGGACTCACAAGAGGTCCTATCACCAGTAAACTATTTCACTAGAATATGTTTATATTCGCTAATCAAAATGCATGATATACTTATACATCTTAATTTGGAATTACAAAATAATCCATGAATAAAATTCAATTACGTTTTGTAGTATTTTACATCATTCGTAATGTATTATACATTCATCATTATCCTGCCCTTCTCCCAGTCACCTGGGGTCGGCGCAACATGTTTTCTCCTTCCATACTCTTCTATCATATACCATTTCTTCGCTCACTCCCCTCCTACCCATATCGTCTTTCACACAATCCATCCATTTCTTCTTAGGTCTACCTCTTCCTCTAAATCCTTCCACATTCATAGTTAACACTCTCTTAACANTCATCATTATCCTGCCCTTCTCCCAGTCACCTGGGGTCGGCGCAACATGTTTTCTCCTTCCATACTCTTCTATCATATACCATTTCTTCGCTCACTCCCCTCCTACCCATATCGTCTTTCACACAATCCATCCATTTCTTCTTAGGTCTACCTCTTCCTCTAAATCCTTCCACATTCATAGTTAACACTCTCTTAACAACCTCATTGTAATGTATTATACATTATAGCCAAATTAATGCTATTCGACCCTCGTGCGTAATATGTGTACATTTATAGTACATATGTATGTATGTACCTATATGAATTGGTTTCACGTTAATCCGCGGGCTTGTACCATAAGACACGGTGACAGCTCTGTGCGAAATTAACAATTTAATATTAATGGAATCAACACTATACGCAATCTCTGAATGAAATTAGAAATCAAGCACAGCTATTTGAAAAGTATTGAGACTGATCTAAATTAAATGAAGACGGATGACTTTTGACATGATAACAAAAAAAACCTAAATATTTCTTTGTAGCGGCATTAGTGTTATTAAATGTTTTTATATAAAATAATAAATAACGAGATTGATTCTAGCTATCTTCTTTCCAAAATTTCATTTCAATGTAGTCGTATTTCCGCGCGTTCTAAACAGACCTTCCACATGTCCACGGCTCGAACGAAATATGCTTCTAACTCTTTTGTCCGTAGATCTTGTAGTTTGTATGATGCTAAGTTCTCTAATGCTGACATCTTTTGCTTGTCACTTGTAGCATATAGAGAAGCTATTTTAAAATATTTATAAGGTGATTTAGCCCGATAAGTAGTATAGTTGATGTATAAAATAATATGTGCGTATTGTGTTGCTTTTGTTTTTTTTGTAATTTAAATTTCAAAATTTCTCTTCTTGTTCACTCTCTACTTATATGTGATTTTGATTGTGGAAACATATTTGTTTTAGCTATATTTTTTTAAATATTATATGTTTGTATTGTACTGTTTGTTTCCCAAATAAATAAATAAATAAAGAGTTTATTAAATATCTCTAGAGAAGTGATAGCATAGATAGATAGGAGGGATAGATCTAGTCTGCTCAGTAAAGACAACGTCAAACGAGGCGCTTAATGAATGTTCCATCTTAATAAAGACTAAACTGTTTCTACTTAAGGTCTAGGTTCCATTGTTCAGATTCTGTTCTGACCTGTGTTTAAAAAAAATAATGAATAATAGACGCATTAGAGATATATAAGCACAATTACCGCCCTCCAACCGGAAACATGAACTCTGCTATTCTGGCCAAACATGACATTCCTTCATGGTAATAGTTCACAGCATAGAACTATTTCTAGAGGCTTCTAAATATACTAAAATCGTTTCTGTTCGTTTATTTTCAAGAGATTGATGAGAGAAGCCGAGGCTTGTGTATAGTGGCATGCTATTGGAAAGGCCTATGTCCAGCAGTGGACTGATATAAGCTGATGATGATGATGTTGTTACAGCTTTCTCTATATTGACAGACGAGCTAATGGAAGAAAGTTACTAATGGCTACTATGGCATTAAAAATAGCCGATACGACTATAAATATGACATTGAAAAAAGGCCTTTCGGGTTAGGGGCCGAACTTTCTAAGAGGTGCTTGCGCCTACGGGTTTTGCGGGGTACTGGGACTTGGCGGTCTGCAGACTTTTGGAGCGGACCTCGGGCCCAAGGTATTGAAAATATATGAGTGCCTATTCCTGTCGTGAAGCAGTAATGCGTTTCGGCTTGAAGTGTGGGCAGCCATTGTACTTAGCATTTCAAATTTAGAACTCATGTCTTAAGGTGGGTGACGGCTTTTACATTGTTGATATTTATGAGCTCTGGTGACCACTTAACACCAGTGGCCCGTGAGCTCGTCCACCCATCTGGGCAATAAATAAAATCAGTGATGATTTTATATCTCAGTAATTTTTTTTTTACTGGACACAACCTAAGTCAATGAGTTATTAAAACGCCATTCTCAATGTGTCCTACTAGCAATAAGAGTAAGAATAAAATAAACTACTTCATATAAATATCGCGATATCGAACGCTAAATCATTTCTAAAAACAAAACTTTATCAGTCAATGCTTTCAGACGTTAATAATGTAATGTAATCAAAATAATAAGAACGTCAAATTTACTTAAGAAACTCAGAAGTATTGTATTTTTTTTTTCCACATAAATTGTCTTGAGTTTTCTTGGACGTGGATACAATGAAAACAATGTAAGAATAAGTATTCGAAAGCTAACAATTGTCTTAAAGGACGCCGAAAATAATTTAAAAGAACAATGTTTATTTTAACAGTTACATAAAGTTGACTTTTAGCTGACAAGTAAACGTCAGGCGTCTAATAAAATTATTTCTTTTTTTTTTAACTTATCTGTGTTTATCAAGCGTTTGCGCTACTGAGCTTTATTTGGCCGAAATTTGTAGCTGTATATAGACAAACTCACAGATTATGCAATACTCAATAGTTAACTTACAAAGTATTAACAGCTTAAGCTCTTTCTGAGTGTGGATTAGATAAGGGTAACCTGGAGCACGGTTTCTTCGACTGTGACCCCAATATCGTGTCTCCTCTTTATGATATCCTTCCAAAAGACATCCTCCGGCCTATTAATATTAATTTTCTATTAACTTTAATCATGTAAATATTCTATGTAATTTTTTATCTGCTAATAATACCCGTATTTATCTTTAAAGTAGTTAGTCTAACATAATATTATATTTGTTTGTGCTGTTCTTAAAATCACAGATTCGCGTATGGAAAAACTGATCAAATTTATTTGTATTTAGTAAAAAGATTTATCATTTTTGGTACGAAGTTCCTTATGGAACGATACGGAGGGGTACACTAACCGGGAAACACGTCCGTAACGTAAGATTTTTATTAGCAATGCACACAGTGTACCACTTAACTTTGACATAACGTACAAATTCGTAATGTACCCAGTGTACTACTTAACTTTGTAATAACGTACAAAAAATAACATATTTTTTTGTCATTCATTGAGCACGACCTCAGAGCGTTCGTTTGCGCAATACACTAACTCTTATGCAAACAACCGTGAATGAAGTGTACCACAATAAGTTCGCACGTTACCGAATGACCGTGGGTTGTTGCGAAACCTCCAGTTTTCTTTTTTTTATACCTCGAATAGAAATTTAAATTAATCTTTTTATAATAAATAACTTCGTTCCTATCCGGTGTTCCACGACACCACATATCTTTTTGTTATTTTTATGCATACTGTGACATTGTCAAAATCAATGCCATAGACGTTCGAGCCAAATTCCTTTATAAAAAAAAAAATCACCTTAAAGAAAAATATTTCAAGACTTTAAATTTTAATTTCACGAAGTACGAACCAATAGTATCTTGATTGTCAGACGTCATCATTTATCCACGAACATTTTCGGACTAAATATTATTGCTGCAAACATAAACCAACCTCCAACACGATACCAGACACCTTTGTATACACAGCTAAGTACACACTATTTGATTTAAGTAATTACATCATTGCTCACTCAGCAACATTAATTGGGACATCAATATACAACGCCCTAATTGAATAACAGTTAAGTCTAATTATCTTGTATTTATACAACTATGTATTTGTTCCATCTGGCTGACTATAAAACAAATACTATATCTAGGTTACATTTGTGTGACTCTTTAACCACTAAATTTCTCGCTGGATCTTCTCAATAGGTCGCGATTCCGACCTAATGGTAGTTTCAGTGAAGCAATGCTTCTTGATGGGGCCAGCGTTAGCAAGCACTCTTAGGTTGAGCCCGTGAGCTCACCTACCAGTCCGTGGATAGCTGGAATAGCCCCTTAGGCTACCGGCGATTAGGTAGGATAAAAAAGTTATTCTTTCATTCCTGCATCGCTATGAACGGTATTTGATTTTATTCGTAATAATAGCTTCAATTATTGTGCCACAAATTAATTTCCAAATCATATCTTTTTCATTAGGAGAAATGACAGCAACGTTGCGGCTTGCCAGTAAGATCTCGCTAAGGTAACTCTCATAGTTAAATTAAAATTTATAATTTCTTGGAAATTAAGAATAAATAATTGAAAACTGACTTCCAGAGGAAAACACGTCATATGAACTCACACAAAGTTACGACAGTCGTTTAAAAATTCAATTCCTGCTCGAACTTTTCGATGAAGTATATAAAATGATGATTCGGTGCCAGTCTTGTCATGCAAAACTCGACAACCACTAGACAGAAGGATTGGTTTTAATTGAGAAAATGTTCTTGTCTCGCACCTACTCCCGCAATAAGATTACACATTTTTCATCCAAAATAATCCTACTTTTAGTTCCTTTTCTCAATTTTTTTCTTAATCTAAGTTGAATTGAAAGACAAATAGGCGCATCAGTAAAACGAACGAAAAAGAAAGTGTCTAAAACGGTGGCATTATATTTTTCTTTTTCACGGAACATTTACTTTTGGAAGCAACAAATTTTCGCGGTAAAGGCATTGATGAAACTTGAGATAAATAAATCTGAGGAACTAACGCGCGGCAATAAAATCATTGAGATTGAAACTTGTTTTTCTTTTGAAATAAGGCAGTAAGCAGTGGCTTGGTTGTGCCCCTGGCATTGCTGACGTCAATGATAGACGGAGACTACTTACAGGTAGCAGGCCGACAAAAAAAAAATTGTGTAAATTTTAAACTACTGCAAGAATTCATGGTTTCTATAAATCAATGTATTAACACCTAAATTATTACCAAAACCTGAAATTCAGAGGCGAAATTTTAAGATTGAATAAACTCAAAAATATCCAGAGAAATCGTTTTTATAAACAACGGCAATGATGCTAAGTTAATACAGCTACATTAAATAGGTCAACCGTTGACAACCCTAGGCGTAATATGGCTTCAGAACTAGACGCGTGTTACACAATGTTACAATGAAAATATTTCAATTGATAGAAGAAAAGAAGGCGATTTGTGAATTGTAGATTGCTATGGTTAGCAAAAGTCAGCCAAAGAGCAATGGAGAGGGCTATGCTCGGATTTTCCCTGTGAGAATCGAGAATGAAGATGATGATTTCCAGGAAAACTATGGTAAACGACATAGTCCAAAGGATTGCGCCGCCAAAGTGGTCGTGGCCACGATGCTCGTAGAACAAATGGCCGATGAGACCGAAAAATTCTTGAGTGGCAACCGCGTACGTAGCCAAGATGTAACGTGGGTAGGTTTCCCACAAGGAGGACTGACGACCTATTGAGGTTCGCGGGATTTCGCTGGTTACACGCAGCAGAGAAACGGTCGTTCTGGTGAGGCTTGAGGGAGGCTTATGTCCAGCAGTGGACATCTGTGGGCTGAGGGATAGGATAGGATATATAGCAAGGGTTTTTTTGTCACTAAGTAATCTTATGCAAAAACAAACATTTACGGGCAGGCTGTAGTGATCATTTAATAGTGCCCATCTACCATATCAAAGGAAAGGCTTTTAAATTCTGCGTAATACAGAAACTATCGACAAACTAATAATAAACCATTACGATTAATCTGATGTCGAAGGTCTATGTGAGAGAACTAATGCATGAATCGTGTTCAGCTTTGACATAAGTCCACTTGGGTTGGTAATAATTGTATACAACCCAATTTATGCATTAAACATAGAAGGTAAGGTACATTGTAAGTGTTTGGAGGAATATTGAGATAGATATTTTGAAACTATTGTATTGATTTTTTTTTTTATTCTTACTAATTTTAAATAATATCCCCTGAAATTCTCATCGGTTTTGGAGCGACTACGTTAAACATGTAAGGAAGTAATACGGCTCACTTAGCCCAATACTTGAGAAGGAACTATTAGCTATTGATTCTAGAAAGGGATAAGCGAAAAATCACATTTATTTGCTAAGCTTAGGATTGAATACTTGTCGTTTTTGCCGCATAGTACGTGATAATAATATAATGTATGTAATAGTAATAGTTAACAGTGATACGGTGTCTTATGAGCTAATATGGGAGGGCCCTGCTACTTATTTTTACCATGACGCTATTATAATATACATTACGGCTTGAAAATTAGGACATCTAATAAAATTTAAAGTTGAACCTCATGTATCTATCTGTGTCACTTAACACCTGGTGGGCCGTGACCTCGCTCTCGCATCTATGATATAAAAATAGTTTATAAAAAACATAGATCTAGTACTTTATTCTTAATCTATTCAACAATCGTTTTGTTTTTGTTTATTTATTATTGACGACCTTTAACTTTAATAGTAAATATAGTTCATGTTTAGGAATACAACTACATATTTAGCTTTTTTTTTGAATAAGTAGAATTATAAACCATAAAAAAGAACGTATTATATAAGAAGGGGAGTAAGGGGAGATCGGAATGCTACCTTCACCGGCCCTATTGTCAACCCCACCTGCACGCGCCGGATGGCGGCGGCGACCAACAGGTTGCCGTGGTGCTCCCTGCTAGAGAATGAACGGGGCAATGGCGACCGAGCAATGGCGGTATAACCATACACACCCGTCAGGACAACCTGTACGGAAGAGGCGTCAGAAACCTTGGGGATCAAATACCCCCTAAAATGCTGGTGCAGAAGGCAACGGGAAACCACTGCACTAATTTCCCACGAGAGTCATGAGCAGGTCGTATCCGACTGATGCATGACCACGACCACTCTGTCAAGAGTGTACGAATAGGAAGAAAGAATTATATAAGAACGCAAATGTTGAGGCGCCACTCAATGTTATCGATTTTCGACCACTGGATGGACATTACTAATTCTTATTGATTGGTAATTCAAACTTGAAATCTGTTTTAGACGTTCGTGGTACTCTGATATTACTTCAACGTTTCTACTGTTCTGCCTACCTCTTCGTATACGTCTTAATCAGTGTTATCAGCAACAACATCAAGTACAGCGTCACACATATTTTAATTTTGTTTTTTTATTTATTGCTAGGATGGGTGGACGAGCTCAAAGCCCACCTGGTGTTATGTGGTTACTGGAGCCCATATACATCTACAACGTAAATGCGCCACCCACCTTGGGATATAAGTTCTTAGGTCTCAAGTAGTTACGGCTGCCCCACCCTTCAAACCGAAACGCATTACTGCTTCACGGCAGAAATAGGCAGGGTGGTAGTACCTACCCGTGCGGACTCACAAGAGGTCCTACCACCAGTAATTACGGAAATTATAATTTTGCGGGTTTGATTTTTATTACACGGTGTTATTCCTTCACCGTGGAAGTCAATCGTGAACATTTGTTAAGTACGTATTTCAATAGAAAAATCGGTGCCCGCCTGGGATTCGAACACCGGTGCATCGCTCAATACGAATGCACCTCTCAATGCATTTGAGTTTATTAAAACTGAAGTTCTCTTACACGGTTATTTTCGATTTACTTATTTACGAATATACTTTACGATATTACTTCTTTCTTATTTGTAAAGTTCAAGGTGAATAGTTTGTATGTAGCTTAAAAAATTAAAAACACACGCATGAATAACAAATCGAACTAACAATTAGTTTTTTTTATCGCGTTAATACTGATCAGGATGTTAGATACAGATATTAGATACAAATAAATATATTATTTATTTATTTCTTTATTAATTAATTAATTAATCAATAATTTATTTATTTATTTATACTTTACGCACAAAACAAAAGTTGTACACAGGCGGACTTAATGCCATGGGCATTCTCTTCCAGTTGACCATAGGGTGGTGCAGAGATTATGCATGGTAGGTGCATTAACAAAAGAATAACAAACAACAACAAAAAACAAAATCAAAACAAAAATCTTCCTTAAAGTAACATCTCAGTATTATGTATATGTTCATCCAAGCTATTAAAGGCGTGGTGAAAATTTTGGCAATTTCAAATTTAAAATTGTATCTTACATCTTCGATTTTTTCCTAACGAAAACATTTGCATGTAGCCTATAAACTACATTGTTGAACCCGTATCTAACCACAAAAAGCCCGCACCAATCAAAATTCGGACGCCCGTCCATTTCTCATTGCGAAAAGGGACAACTGTAGCCTATGTCACCCCTTCAGGACACTTCAGAGGGTCTAACTAACACATTGTTAGTTCAGGCCTCGACTATGACTCGCGATCCTTACAATGAATCCGTGACCTCGGCGTGTTCGGATTTCTTAATTCCTGTCTGTTTGTTCCTTTGTTGTAGTTCAGAAGTGTGTCCTTAGTAAACATCGTGAGCTTAGTGTCCTATTTGGCGTTCTTCGAATATATTCTAAAAGTTTTTGTTCTAGAATATTGTTACGCGCTGGGGTTCGGGATACATAAATATTCCACCAAAGTACAACTAAAAACTGTATTCAACACTTAAAACACTTCACAAACACTTTAAAATT